GCTTGATGCACTCGCCTGCCTAACGTTATCTTAGGCAAAAAAAAAAAAGTCCCTTAGGACCCCAGCACACGAGCATGTACCGACGTGTACCCACGGATTGGCAGCATTACCTTTCCCAACAAGAAAAACGGAATCTTGGTATATATGATGCGTTCACACTTTGCTGATTACAATCCTTTTCATGCCAAAAATCATACCTTTACTTTTTTGTTCCTTTCAAATTGAAAATATGACGTCCTTACCTTTAATACCAATCTCATTCATCCTGTTATGTACTACCAAGGCAGATTTTGACGAGAGTTTATTATGCAAGTCAATAATGACAGTTACATATTTGTGTTCTAAGCATCAGAATCATGGAAATTGATTTTAGAAATATGAAACTTGGCAAATTCCTTTTTTAACAACACATTATAGAATTGTCTAGATTTTTTTGTGTTTAATGATAAGGAGTGATGAAAATGATGTTGATTCATTTGTAAAAAACTATGATAGATAGATAGACTAAGAAACATGAATTACTATTAAGCAAATGTAAGTGAGTATTTTTATTGTGTGAGATGCATGAGTTATGTGTTAAATAGATAAAGTGGATGCATATTGTGAGGTAAGATATGGTATAATAAAGAATTTCATTATTCCTAGAATTAATTCAATCAAAGAGGCTATTAATTTGCCACATGTGCACCCATAAATGTCAAGCAACATATGTTTAAAATAAATCTATAAATATTTTTTTTTAAGAAAAATAAATCTATAAATAAGGTTATTGACATTTGTTTTTATGTATGCTCATGAACGATTTGGTGTGCACCTAAAATTATTAATAATTATATGTAGTTTGTATTATTTCTAAATTCAATTTGGATCTGTTGACTCTAAATTTTGAAGATCCAGATCCTAATAAACATGTTTAATTTATTCTAATTTGGGCCAGGTTCAAGATCCATTTCATCTATACTTATTGCTAAATTATTTTAATTAATTACCTTTCCTAAAAAAAATGATTTTAATTAATTACCTTGTATTATTTTTTTGTAAAAAAATTATCTTTGAAAAATAGAAAACTAATTTTGAAACATCTCATTTGTTTTTTTTTTTATTTTATAAAAAAAATCATTTGATAAAAAAAAATCATATTTGAAATCTAATCTAATATATATATATATATATATATATATATATATATATATATATATATATATATATATATATATAGGGGAGTTTTTTCCCGAGAATTTAGAGCGCCACCTAGGATTTTAATTTTTAAAAAATTATTAGATAGCCCATTAATATTTTTAAAATGCTATAATAAGATTATGCCACGTAAGATTAGCATGTTTAAAGTGCTATGTAGAATTATAATAATAAAAAATAAAAAAAAAAACCGCCACGTAGGATTAGTATTTTTAAAACGCTACAATAGGATTATGCCATAAGATTAGTTTTTTTTTTTTTTTTTAAAGCCACCACGTAAGATTATAATAAAAATGAAAAAAAAATGTCAAAGTTACTACGTAAGATATTTTAGAGCGTCACATAGGAAAATGCTATATTTTAGCCGATGAAAAATAGAATTGCTATTTATTTTAGATCTAAAATTTTATATTAATTATAAAAGTAAAATTAGCGCGTTTTTTGTGGCTTGCTATATCGTGTAACCCCTGACTGTTCGAGTAAACCCTGAGCAATCGAGTAACCCTTAACAACCGAGTAACCCTTGACCAAGTAATCCTAACCACACGGTGGCCAACCACACATGAAACATTGTGAAATAAAATAGTATCTTTTTTATGTTAAAATTTTTATCTAAATATGATAAACAAAATTTATAATTCATTTTATAATAAAAAATTCAAGTAGTAAGCAAGTGAATATCACAAAGTTTATCAGATATGTATATATATATATATATATATATTTATTAAATATTTTATTTAAAATAAATACAAACAAACCGTGCATCACATGGGCTTCATCTAGTATATAATTAATTATGAAACATCTAGCCCTCATAAAAATAAAAATTAAAAATTTTTAAAAAAAAAAAAAAAAAAACAAGTAACATCTCATTTAATAGTTAATACCCCATACCTTTATTTTTAATCCTTACAGAATGGTTTACTAATAATGTCAATAAAAGAAATCCATATAAATTGGAACAAATCAAACTTATCTTATTTTTGGTATAAAATCATCACTTGATTTACTTATTTTGGTTATAAAATCATCATTTGATTTACTTATTTTGGTTATAAAATCATCACTCGATTTTGGATAGTGTTTTTAACATAGTTTGGATAATAGTGTTTATTACGGAGTATTGTAAAGCCCCGTTCACTTCACCTTATTTTTACTGAACTAGAAATTATTTTTATTAAACTGAAATTATTTTTGCTGAACTTAAATTATTTTACTGAGCTGAAATTATTTTTGCTGAACTGAAATTACTGAATTTCTACTCCCTCCGTTTTTTAAATGCATCACTTTGACTTTTGCACTATTCACATACCATGGTTGACTTAATTTTTTCACCTCTCTAAAAGGAATAAATGTTATTATATATATAATATATCACTATATTACTCATAATGACTAGTTTCATAATATAATTTTCTTACAATTTTTACAATTAGACAATTAAAGATATTAATGGTCAAATTTGCGTCTCGACAATTATGCTGGTCAGACTGATGCATTTTTTTTAAAAAAAAAACAGAGGGAGTATTATATTTCTTCTTTAAACTTACTGATTTTTACTGAACTGAAATTATTTTTACTGAACTGAACTTATTTTTACTGAATATTTTTTTTTATAAGGTGAGGTGAACAGGGCCTAAAAATGAAATATTTTTTTTTTATTTAAAATAATAATCCTTTTTTTTGTTTTTTTTTTTGGTGAAAGAAAGGGTCAAGCCCCAAAGATAATAATCCATTATAAAAAAGGGAAAATTGGATAATTACCACCTACTATAGCTCACGTTTTAGTAATTACCACCTACAATAATTATTACTAGATGGAAGCCCGTGCGATGCACGGTTTTTTTATTATTTGATTTATTGTATTTAATAATTTCAGACAAAATTACAAAAGATTAATATTTATTTATTTTTACTATAACTTATAATGAATTTATTAAATATAAATAAATTATAAATTGATATTTTTTCGTTATATAAAATCTTTAATGTGAAATGATAAATTTTTAATAATTTAAAGGATAGAATCACCAACCAAATTTAAATCCTAAATCATTGTTTACCATATCTTTTATTTCGATAGAATCACCAACCTCGTCCGCAACCAACCTACTACATCAATGGCTAAATTGAACCGTGAAATGTTAGCCAAAGTGAAATTGATATAAATTAAATATTTACATTTATATAAAATAAATCAATATATTTACCATTAAATGAAAAATTGTTGTGATATAAAATCAAATCTATGCATTGGAATATTTTCATCATCTCCAAAAATAACCAAAGCCATCCATATATTAAGTATACAACATCTAATCGTATGCCATTACATAAACAAATAATCGTTAAGTATCCTAAATAAATACAATGTAACTAATAATTGCAAATTTAAATTTAAACATAAGATTTTAAAAATTATTCGGACATTAATGACCTAAAACTAACACAAAATTATTAACACAAAATTCGCTTGATGGGGTTTTGTATTTATAAGAAATTTTGTTTGTGTCGTATGATGTGTTAGATCTGCATGTAAAAAAACATTTAGTAAATAAAACATAAACATATAATCGTTGAGTATCCCAAATTAATGCAATGTAAGTAATAATAGAAATACTAATTTTAACATAGGATTTTAAAAATTAAGCTAAAAATTACCCGGCCATTGATGATAAAAAATTAACACAAAATTCGCTTGATGGGGTTTTTTTTTATTGATACGAAACTTTGTTTGTGTCGTATGATGTGTCAATTTATAATGGTAGATATCACAAATTTTAATTTAATTATAATTAACGAACAATTTGTATTTCTTATCATAAACACTATCAAAATTTATCTTATAATGATAGGTATTAAACTTTATTATAAGCGTTTATCATTTAAATATTTTTTAGTATATTTTTTTTGGATTTCTTATACTCGTAGTATTGAATTAATAAATTTATGTTTTCTTATATTTTTACTTTATTTTTTTTTCATTAATATAATTTAGTTTGTGGATTATAATCTACGTGGCATTAAAATTTTAGATATATCAAATCTAATTCGTTCATTTTTTCTAGATGACGACATGATTTTTTAATTCAAAAATAAATACAAATCTTTCTTCTTACTGGTCGAAATAAGTATATTTCTTATGTGGCGCTCCGAATGCTCTCCAAAAATTCCTACTTTATTTATATAATAATATTAGATTAAATTAGATTATTATTATTATTATTATTATTATTATTATTATTAAAAATCAATAATTATTATCTTTAAATATTAGTTATTATCTTTAAAATATTAAGTTTTATTATAAAAAATCAATTATTATTTTTATTATTTTTATTAATAATAATAATAATTATTATTATTACTATAATTATTAAATATTTATTATTTATTATTGTTATTAAATATTATTATTATTATAATAATTCAATATTAATTATTATTTTTAAGCAGAGTACGCAGACAGAGCAGACCAAATTGAAGCACAGCAAAGCAGCTCTAAAGAACAGGGCCTAAGTATGGACAAGCAATTTTCACTAATATTCTTTTCACATATTTTTTAATTAATAATAAACAAAATAAAAATTAAAAACGGCAATCATCAATTCAAAAAAGTTTAAAAAACCCCACCTACTCTCCATATCTTAATTTTCTTTTTCTTTTTTTTCTCTATAAAAAGTCAAGACAACTCCATAAATATCCCCCAACCAATCAAAATCCCTTGATTTCCCACCACCAATTTCAGCCGCAGATTAAGGTCTAATCCAACGGTCCAGAGTAATTTACTAGAACATTCGTAAACCACGATCCTTTTTTCCCTTTATAATCCTCTCCATTTTCAGCCATATTCTTATTGACAGAACTTGTGCTCTCCTCGTGCTTACCTTCCGCATTCTAGGGTTCTTCAATTTTTCTTCTTCGATTTTTTCATCAGGTTCGCCATTTTCTCTCTCTTCTTTTTGTTCTTGATTCTGATTCAGATCTATGTGATTTTGTTGTTTGATTTTTTAATTTCTGGAAAATGTGGATTTTGTTTGTTTGTTTGATCATTTGTTTATGGTTGATCGTGCATGTTATGTGATTTGTCGGCGCTTTCATTGAGTTTTGAAAGAAATAGAGCATTATATTCTTTGATTTCGTTTAATGTTGATATTTTTTTTTGTGTGATTCATAGGCGTTTTGTTTTCTTTGTATCAATCTCATTTTACTGTGATTTTTCGTCGATTTGATTGATTTATTTGAAAAATGCGCCTTCTATTGTTTAAATTCATCTCATGTTCGCTTAATTTCTTGATCGTAGTTTAAGATTTTGATTCACTTTCAATGATTCATCGCCATCCGATTTCGTTTGTTCATCAGTAGCGTTTTGATTTGTGATTTTTAAGCGGTTTTTTGTCAGTGTTTTGATCTCTGTTATTGTTTGTGAAAATGTGGATCTAAAATCGATTAATCAGCGTTTCTCTTTAGGTCGTTTTTTTGGTCAGAGATTGTTGATAAGTAATCGAGTCCAGAATTTGATCAGTCATAAGTGCCGTAATTTGTGTTACTATAATTTGACTCATTTTATGACGCTCTAAATTTGTCGGAATTTATTGGAGTTGTTAATTTTGATGAAACTTTTCGTTTTCTATCGATCACTGTGGAGTATAGACGTGTGGTCAGTGAAGAGGCTGTACCAGCATTATTATATGAATTTTTTTATTTATTTATTATATCTATTTATTTACTACGTATTATTATTATTATTAATATATTTTTTTTTATAATGATACTAAGAATATTTTGGAATTTAGTGTATCAAAAAAAAAACAGGAAGATGTCCTAAAAAAGTAAAAAGAGCCTTGTCTTGATAATCCTTTTTTAGATAACTAGAATAGAAAGCCCACTAGTCAATTTGTGAGGGGAATATAAATTTAAGGTTAGTATTTTTTATTTTTTGATTAATTAATTACCTTAATTATATGATTATATATTGAACAATGATAATTTTTGGCAAAATACAAGTACTCTGTATTTGATATTATGGTATGGGTTAAGCTTAAAAACTAATAATTTCGTGGACTTTTGGATGTCATGTTGGGGATATGAGATATCTATGAAATAAATAATGTTTAGGAGGTTTAATAAGATACAAAAGTAATTTACATTACATTTTTAAGCCTATAGTCTATTATTGAATATGTTATTTGATCCTAATTCGGTTCAGATTTCAAAAGTTTCGGTGCTAATTCAAATTCTGAATTTTTGTGCCAAGTTATGATTAAATGCTTACGTTCTACTCTCATTTGTAGTTACTGTTGAATCATAAATTCATAATTACTATTTTTTATATCTGCTTAATGTTTTTTTTAAATCCAGTAACTATGAATGATTGTCACTTGTGAACTAATTGTTAATTTGGTATATCAGAATTCATAAACCATGGGAAAGAGCTACCCAACCGTCAGTGAGGATTACCAGAAATCTATTGAAAAGGCCAAGAGGAAGCTCAGGGCTTTGATTGCAGAGAAGCAATGTGCTCCTCTTATGCTCCGTCTTGCGTAAGTTTGGCTAATATGGTTTTGGAGCTGGAATTTGGTGTAATATTTTTGCATCAACAAATTTTTGATGAATGTTTGTTGTACAGATGGCACTCTGCTGGTACCTTTGATGTGAACTCAAAGACTGGAGGACCTTTCGGTACAATTAGGCACCAGGCAGAGCTGGCTCATGGGGCTAACAATGGGCTTGACATTGCCGTTAGGTTGTTGGAACCCCTCAAGGAACAATTCCCCGAAATTTCTTACGCTGACTTTTATCAGGTATAATTCCACTGTCTTGTATCTTATGTGCTACCCTTCATTCTTTTTGGTTGGTATTTAATGCTGATTTTCTGTTGCTTGATTTGGTGTAGTTGGCTGGTGTTGTGGCTGTTGAAGTCACTGGAGGACCTGAAATTCCCTTCCACCCAGGCAGAGAGGTTTGTGATTGTTTTAACTGCCTACTTGTATAATGCATGTTTGGCTGCTGTTATGCTGTCATGGAATTTGCTGTTGGGGAAGCTTAACAAGTTTTTCAATTTATCAGAGGTTACTATAATGTTAATGTTTTGAAAATGATGAATTTTTCCGTGATTCCAGGACAAGCCAGAGCCACCCCAGGAAGGCCGTCTCCCTGATGCCACCAAGGGTATGGCATCATTTTTTTTTTTTTTTTTTTAAAAAAAAAAAAACTTTGTTACGTGTGGAGTTCCTTCCTTGACCCCCCCCCCCCACCAAAACCCATTCCACCCAATCCTTTTTAATGTTGCGGCTAGCTTGCCCTTGTCAAGGTTCCATTGATTCCTAAATCAGTTGTGGTACTGTTGCAGGTTGTGACCATTTAAGAGATGTCTTCATCAAGCAAATGGGTCTAACTGACCAGGACATTGTTGCTCTCTCTGGAGGCCACACCTTGGTATGCTTGACATTTTCGTTGTTGTAGTTGTTTATAGCTTTTCCATGCGTTGGTTAGATTCTAACGCATTCCTACTTTTATAATTTGGTAGGGGAGGTGCCACAAGGAACGCTCTGGTTTTGAGGGAGCTTGGACTGCCAACCCTTTGGTCTTCGACAATTCTTATTTCAAGTAATAATTCTATACTTATCTGCTACGGTATTTCTTTAGGCAATAAAATGTTGTTATATGCTAATTCATCATTTGCCCTACCTGGTGATAGGGAGCTCCTGAGTGGTGAGAAGGAAGGTCTCTTGCAGCTTCCATCTGACAAGGCTCTTCTCTCTGACCCTGTCTTCCGCCCACTGGTTGAGAAATATGCAGCTGTATGTTCTTCCTGATAAATCTTGTTATGTCAATAAAGCTTTGCAATGCTGACTGTTATGAAATGATCAAATATGCTCCTAATATAATCTGTTAACCAGTAAAGAGTGTAGAAAAGGGAATTGAGGGGCTCAGAATCTTTTCATTTGAGAAGATTCATAAGGAATTAACGAGTTTTGTTCTCTTGTGTGCCATATGGCTAATTATTCTTTGAAATCACCACCTACTAGAGACTAGTCTTTTTGTATAGTTCATATTATCTTTTTCTCACCATAGTTATGATTTTCTTATCAGGATGAGGATGCATTCTTTGCCGACTATGCTGAGGCGCACCTGAAACTTTCTGAACTTGGGTAATGCTCTTACTCTTCTTGTGTACAATTATTGTTGCTAAACTTCTCATACCACGGTAGACGCCTGTGTTTTGTTCTAAGACAGTCCTTGTTTTCTTTTGTAGATTTGCTGATGCTTAAGCAGCTGGAAAGAGATTGATTGAAGGGTGTCCAAGAGACTAGCACCAGTGCATCTTTTGTATTTCATTGCGTTTAGAATGATATCGAGAAACTTTTTAGCACAGTGCGCATAGGTTGCAATAGGGAATGCTTGGTAACCCTTCATCACTTTTTGTTGAGTTTGATGGATTGGTGTGTAGGACTTCCAGTTTGTGGATTGGTCATGTTGCGTATGTAATAAAATATATTTAACAGTTGCGGTTGCCTTAATGTGCTTGGTAGTGTTTGGTATTCCTTGCTTTTTATGATAGACCTTCTATTGCACCATGATACTATGATGCCTTTTACAAAGTGGTATCTTTTCGTAAAGTTTAAGAAATTGTCTTCGGTGCTTAAGATGGTCGTTTTCAGAAGGAATGTAACATTCTCTTTCCAATGGCAATGAGATTGTTTAAATTCAAATTGTAGAATAAGGTTTCTGTTTTATCTTTCTGGACATCCAGAATCAAGCTGCCTTTAAAGGCAGTTTTAGTACTAACAAAATTTGGCTATAACCGTTTGAATAGTTCCTGGTTCTGCGACGAAATTTTTTCAATCTAACTGACAATTTTAGTAATTGCCACTTTGGGTAAAAATACGATCCCAAACTGGTTAATTCACTTCTTATATGCATAGTACCTCTGTTAAAGTATTATCATTTGCAACTTTAGGATAAGGTACGGACTTCAAGGCAAAAGATGGTAAGTGATAATTAAGAAAATGAAGGATATGTCATTAACAAGAAAATTAATTCCAAATATTCTTTTTTTATTAAATAAAAAATTTAATAAACCCCTAAATCTAACTATCTAAGGACTCGTTTGGTGACGTGAAGCTTTTGAAACAATACTTTCTCTATTTTTTAATATTTGCAACACTTTCCTAAAATGAAAATGTCACAATATTTACAATTCACTATATATAGTTGGAAAGTTATCTTGGGGAAAAGTTGTACTATTTCCCTTATTTAAAAGCACATAGCCCATTAAATTATACTCCTAACAATCTCTCACTCCAATTTAAATTATATTAAATCATGTGAAACCCACTTTTCTTAAATACCATGAAATTTTTTTGTCAGGAAAGACCTTTTAAAGAGAACTTACCTTTTAAAGAGAACTTTTTGTTCAGAAAAACCTTTTTAAAATTTTTGGCTAGGAGAAACCTGTTTATATTTTTTTTTGTTGAGGACAACCAAGTGGCACTTTTCGACGTTGACTCGCTTTTTTCCCACATGTGCATGTCACGTGCCTCCTATTTTTCTAATCACACCCCCCTTTTCCTAATTCTACTCTATTTTCCCTCCAATTAAACACTCTCTCTCCTCTCTCTCTCTCCTCTCTATGAATCAGCCATTGTTGGAGTTCAGTCAATTCGAAGCAATTAAAGGCTTTCCCAACAAGTTTCGACCAAAGGTAAGTGCTTAATTTATCAATCTCTCATGTTTTCGATAGTTGATAAAAAAATTAGGGGTTTCCCCCTTTTTAAAATTTCTCAATTATGCAACAATTATGGTTCGAGGTGGTGATTTGAGGTGTGGGTGTGGCCTTCTTGTGGCGAAGAGGATTTCATGTACCCATGATAATCTTGGTAGGAAATTCATTGCTTGCAAAATTTATAACTATGAAACTGGCAGAGGGGCTATGACAAATTTGAGTGGGTTGATGAGGGTATTCTTAACTAGAAAAGAGATGTGACTAATGTCCTGATAGCAGAGAAGCACAGGCTTGCTACTGATCTTAGCATTATCAGGGCAAGGCTTGCATGTTATGAGTATCAATGCAATGTTTACAAAAAGAAAAAAAAGACTCGATTTTTAAATTAATTCTAAACTTACTGTTTTTAGGTGGGTGTAAATTGAAAGCAGATTCACATCTTCATTAATGATGTAGCAGCCATGGCAGAGAAGAGATTAATTACCTCGACGCTTGTTCACAGAGAGGAGAGAGAGAGAGAGGAGAGAGAGTGTGGAATTGGAGGGAAAATAGAGTGGAATTAGGAAAAGAGGGGTGTGATTAGAAAAATAGGAGGCACGTGACACGCACATGTGGGAAAAGGCGAGTCAACGCCGGAAAAAGACAAGTCAACGTCGGAAAGTGCCACTTGGTTGTCCTCAATAAAAAAATTTATAAACAAGTTTCTCCTAGCCAAAATTTTTTAAAAGGTTTTTCTGAACAAAAAAGTCGCTTTAAAAGGTTTTTCCTGACAAAATTTCCTATTTGCTTCTTAAAAGTAGTTCTCTAGAAACACCTAGGAGAAATAGTTGCGTTTGGCCATAAAATCTTAAAAGTACTTTTGAGAAATTGAATAAGTTCTTACATTGTTTGGCCCAATATATGTGGTATAACTGTACCTAGTTTTTCTTTAAAAAAAATAAAAAAAATAAAATAAACAGTTTAAGTCATAACGAAATGATATTATAACGAAAAAAATAATTCTACCTAGATTTTCATTACTTTTTCTCTATTTTATAATTTTACTCCCTACTTTCCTTTTCTTTTCAATGATTTGGCTTTTATCATCTCAGAGTATCCTATTCATCATCTTCTTTTCTTAAACCATATGAACAAATCATATGAACATATAACAATGGCAGCCTTAGTTTATCATTCCAATTACCAACAACTTAATTTCCTCTAATGTTAAAATATGGATTTGGCACCAACTTAACTTTTAAGTTCACGCATTGTCCTATATTTCTTCGTTCACCCCCAAAATCAACGAAGTTGGTTGATTGGTGAATTACATTGCAAAAACAACCCAACCCTCTAAAATAACGTAAAAAATCCACAACACAAACCACAATTTTTAATTTTTGTCAACTAATAATTTGTTGATGGAGGATGTGGGGTTGAATGGACAGGGAATTAAAAGAGTAAGGAGAATCATAGCTATAGAAGACAGTATCAATAATGGCTATTGAGAGAGAAAGGGAGGAGAGAGAATGTTTTTTAGATGAGACATGTCACATGTGGGTATTTTCTAAAAATTGAAGGGTATGATGGTCTGATAAAAAATTTCATTAAATGAGTATGTTGGCTCCCCGAGAAACCATTTCTAGAAGCTCAAATTTGATGCTTCTCCTTCTATATCATCTAAAAACTATTTTGGGGTCATTTGGGCTTCTAGAAAAGTTGTTTCTATTTCTGTAAAACCCCTTGTTTGGCCAAATTTCAGTTTCTCACGCTGAGAACACTTTCAAGAGCTTGGCCAAACACTACCTAAATCCAACTTACAAACCACTATCACCACCACCAGTCCACCACCCAACCTGTTGTGACCACCACCTAGCCATTAAACACTGGTCGAGCCACCCCATACACAACAGAAACAACCAACCCTTTACCACCCACCCTTTTTGAAAAACAAACCGACACAACCTCACATTGAAAGAGACTAGATCTAGGTTTTTGCTATCCTCTTGTTAAAATAAAACCCAACCATGATCATCTTCTTTGTTGTCTTCTTGATATTTGGTTTGAGTTCTTTCTTTGAAAAGCAAGATTTGGGATTTTGGGTTCTTTCTTTGAACAACAATATTAGGTTTTTTTTTTGACAAGGAAACAAAAGGGTCAAGCTTAGGTTGACTCAAAAAAAATAAAAATAAATTGGGGTTTTAGGTTCTTTCTTTGAACCATGTGTCCTTAAGCAAGCATAATCATATTCTGGTCGAACAAAATCTTCGTCTTCTTAGAAAAACCCTCCTAACCCAAACGAAGATCGATAATTGATTCAATGAATCTGATGACAAAATGAAGATGAAGAGAGAGAAAGTAGAGATTGCAGATGAATAAATAGAGATTGATGAGAAGATGAACATTAGGTAAATAGATTATGTTGCAATGAGTTATTTGGGAGAATGAATTAAATCTGAAGGGAATATAATAATATATAGTTTAATTAGGATAGATTAGTTTTTTTTAATTAACTCCGTTTTAAGTGTTTAATTGAGGTTATGAAACTTGAATAAGGGTATTTTTGTAATTTCATTATTAAAATTTACTAAAAAAAGAAAAGATTTGAAAATGTTGCACATAATGTGAAACACCCATTTTTAACAAATGTTTGCAGATAATACTTAATGAAAGTAGTATAAAAAAAAAACAATATAAAAATGCCAAATAATGCACATTACACTTGATCTTGCATTCTTTTTATATAGAGGAAGGCTCATGTAAGAACCCTCCTCTATATAAGAACCCAATCTTATATAAAAACCAATCTCAGCCGTTTATTAGTTTTGATCCAACCATCTAAAATGATCCTTTAGTAATGCCATTTCTGTAATTCTTCTTTTATATTCTAATTTTTTTTTGCCTACTCCTATGTTCTAAATTTAGTATATTTATGTTCAAATTTTTTTTTCCTATGTTCCAAATTTAGTCTACTTATGTTCTAAAGTTTTGTTTCCTATGTTCTAAATTTTTTCTACCTATGTTCTAAACTTTTTTTTTCCTTGTTCTAAATATTCTTTTACCTTTTGCCTATGTTCTAAATTCAGTCTACTTATGTTCTAAATTTTTTTTTCCTATGTTCTAAATTTTTACTACCTATGTTCTAAAGTTTTTTTTTCCTATATTCTAAATATTCTTTTACCTATGTTCTAAATTTAGTCTAATTATGTTCTAAAGTTTTTTTTTTTTTTTCCTATGTTCTAAATTTAGTCTACTTATTTTCTGCTCATATAACTTAGTACTAATTTAATTAGTTTTATTGGATTTTTTTTGTTTCAAAAAAAAAACATTTGAAGTTTTTTAGTTATTTATAAAGATAACCTATGTAGGAGTTGAACCTACATCCTCTATGCATTTGCATAGTGCTCTTCCAATTGAGCTAATAGGTTTTATCATATGTTCTAAATATTATTTGCATATGTTCTAAAATTTATTGCTTAAGCTCTAAATTTTTCAATCTAAGCTCTAAATATATGTATGTTCTAAACTATTTTCCTATGTTCTACATTTTATTGTTTATGTTCTAAAGTTTTCTGTCCATGTTCTAAATATATATCCTATATTCAAATTTTTTTGTCTATGTTCTAAATTTATTTCCTATGTTCTAAATTTTTTCCGTATGCTCTAAATATTTTCCGTGTGCTCTAAATTTTATCCTATGTTCAAAAGTTTTTCTACCTATTTTCTAATTTTTTTTCCTTGCGTTCTAAATTTTTTCTATCTATGTTCTAAATTTTTTCACCTTATGTTCTAAATTTTTTCACCCTATGTTCTAAATTTTTAGTATATGTTCTAAACTTATTTTCTATGCTCTTATTTTTTTCCCCAATATTCTAAATTTCCAATTTTTTTTCCTATGATCTAATTTTTTTTCCCAATGTTCTAATTTCCTATGTTCTAAATTTTTACTATGTTCCAAATTTTTCCTATGTTCCAAAGTTGTTCGTAT